GCATAAGGCAGGGAACACTCTTTAGTACTGAAGCCATATCTATGCCAGAATCTTTCCTTCCAAAGGGACATAAGCTCCTGTTCCCTACACCACAAAGCACCTAGGATTTGGGGGAAGGGATTTCTTTAAAACATCATATACTGGAAAATAATGTCCCTCCAAAAGCTTTGTGTGTTTTTTTTAAAGATTTTATTTATTTATTCATGACGAGAGAGAGAGAGAGAGAGGCAGAGACACATGTGGAGAGAGAAGCAGGCTCCATGCAAAGAGCCTGACCGAGTCTGTGGGACTTGATCCCCAGACTCCAGGATCACGCCCTGAGCCAAAGGCAGACACTCAACCACTGAGCTACCCAGGTGTCCCCAAAAGCTTTGTGTTTAAAAAAATTTTTTTTGAAGTATAGCTGACACCAAAAGTTTTTTAAAGAATGGGTTGTATAAAGCCATAGCCAGGACACCCAAATGACTTTCACCAGGCAGGTAAACATAAAATAACATATAATAAAATCCTCTGCCTGCAATTTAACTGTGCAAAGTATGAAGGAAAGAAAAGCTCCAAAGAAAGACAAGTAGATATGACCATGGTTTTCCAGACTATAAATAGGAACAGCCATACCCACAAACCCTTGTGACACCTTTGCAAACAAGGCTCTTAAAAAACTATAATCAGTTAGTGTGAACTTCACGTGAGACTTTACATCATAGGCTTTTTTTTTTAAGATTTTATTTAATTATTTGAAAGATAGAGCACAAGTGGAAGGAACAGCAGAGGAGAGGGAGAAGCAGGCTCCCTGCTCAGCAGGGAGCCAGATGCAGGACTCGATCCCAGGACCCCAGGATCATTACCTGAGCCAAAGGCAATTGCTTCACCAACTGAGCCACCCAGGCACCTCACATCACAGGATTTATATGTAGAAGGTGGTAGTTTGTGTAGTAGCTAAAAGGAAAAAATTTTTTTAAAGATTTTATTTATTTATTCATGAGAGAGAGAGAGAGAGAGAGAGAAGCAGGCTCCATTCAGGGAACCTGATGTGGGACTTGATCCCAGGACTCCAGGATCACACCCTGGGCTGAAGGCAGGTGCTAAACTGCTGAGACACCCGGGAATCCCCTAAAAGGAAAGTTTTGATCCCATTGCTTGAGTGTGGCTCCATGGCTTTCCTACTTACCTTGAGTGTGATTTGGGATATGGTAACTAATCTTCTAGGCCTTGATTTCCTCCTTACTAAAACAGGAATAATAATATTTTGCAAGTTCGTGCAAGGATTAAACAAGAAAATTTACAAATTGCTTAGCCCCATGCCTGGCACACATAGGTCTTCAATAAATATTAACTGCTATCTCCATAGGGTTCAATTTCCAAAAGAAAATCAGATTGCATACTAATGATCAGGGGCTGAATCCTAGAAGCTCAAAATCACTTGCTTGACCAGGTCTAAGTGGAGCTTTTGTTTTTAAGTATAATAATTGAATAATTTTAAACTGTTTCAGATGTTGGGTAAAGGTTCTAAAACAGAGGTTCTCAAGCTTAGCTGCACATTAGAATCACCTAGGTTGATTTAAAAACCTTGATACCCATGTTACAGCCCCAATAAATTAAATCAGAGTCTCTGGGGGTGGGAGCAAATCATCAGAGTAGTCTTAACAATCCTCAGGTGATTTCAATGAACAACCAAATAAAGTTCTCATTTGCTCTAAAATTCTGAAACCACGATGAAGTTGCATTGACAGCAGGAAAGTAGCTCAGAAGAAGAGTCCCAGGGGATCCCTGGGTGGCGCAGCGGTTTGGTGCCTGCCTTTGGCCCAGGGCGCGATCCTGGAGTCCTGGGATCGAATCCCACATCGGGCTCCCGGTGCGTGGAGCCTGCTTGTGTCTCTGCCTCTCTCTCTCTGTGACTATCATAAATGAATAATAAAAAAAAAAAGAGTCCCACATCAGTGACAAGATGAAGATTTCTGTGGGAGGCTGAAAGGGTTCTATAGAAGATGACTCTAAGGAACACTGGTTTTCATCTGTACCATTTTGTAGGTGTCAAACTATATTCTTAGCAAAGCCCTATAGGGAGAGCCTGTCCTAAGAAATTAAAACTCATTTGACTTGTTTAGATTTTTCTCTTAGCAAGTTTATTAGTGGTATGTGCAAACGTGTATCAACTCTGTCAGCCTCTGAGGCTGAATTCCAGAATATCACTGAAACACCTTTAATTAATTAATTGACATGTCAATTCATTGTCAGCCTTTAATTAAAATCTAGGATCAGCTGGAGTTTAAAGGGAAATGGAGTTATGGTTTCATGAGTACAGGGTTTCAGTGTAGGATGATGAAAAAGAGGTTCTGGAGATGGATGGTGGTGATGGTTGCTATTCTTTTATGTGACAGCCAGTCAGGGACAGCCACAGGAAGAGCACAGGAGAGGCCTAGGAAAATAGTTTATCATACTTACAGGTCCTAGACACAGGAAACACTGCCTAAGACCAGGGCCACAGGGAAAGTAGTACTGTGGGTCAGGAGCCAGAAGAGACAGGAGTTGGAGGACAGCCTGGGCTTCTGCAGGGATAGAGGGCCAGAGGGAGGGGCTCTAGCTTGGTTACTTCGCATATCAAAGGACTGCTCCTGGATGAGCCCCCAGCATTCTCTTAAGAATGGCTAGCCCTGGGGGGGAGGAGCAGCCTCTTCCCAGCCAGAAAGCTTTTAAGATGTCAAAACATCTTGCTATACGGAAAATAAAGAACCTAGCCAATAGAGTTGCAAACAATATAAATGTACTTAATGCCACTGATTACACACTTGAAAAATGGTTTAAAGTGATAGATTATATGCTATGTATATTTTGCAATTAAAAACAAACCCAAGATCCACAATGTCAAAAACAGTGAACTCTAGGCAAGAGACAAGAACCAAAGGGGGGGATATGGGGAAATGGAAAAAGACAAAACTTACATCAGGAACTTAAAGGGTCACTTCTCCCAGCATAAAAGAAGACGTTGTCTTCTACAAAATCTTGGTCACCTCCTGAAATGCAAATTTTAAGCATTTCTAAAAATGACCCAGCATAGTGGGATGAAAGGGAAAGGAAACAAATAGTACAGAATTGCTTCATCCTCTAAAACCATTTTTCACTTCTCATTGCTCTGTGACACTCTAACGACATCAGGAACTATGATACTGTACAGGTCATGCACCACTGAAAACCTGGCTCATCTCCATGTGTGACATTGGAATGCTGAGCCCTCTGTACACTGCCCATTATGGCTGGCTAATTCAATGTCATCGTATGCTTTGGTGAAGCTCGATCATGAACTGCTCTACAGACCTTTTCTCCAACAGAGTGTCAATTGTATGTGTGTGTAGGAACTAATATATTTGAATTTACTAGACTTTTTGTACAGTATTGTCCTGAAATTCTAAAATCCCAAATCACTCCTTAGATATAACATCTAAGTACTATTTCTCAGCCAAAATCATTTGGTTGACAAGAAAATTATTGCTTCATTGTGTATTCCCACCTAACTTTCCTCTTCTCTGTATAATCAGGGAAATCTACCATCACTTCTAATTTTTCCTTATTCATGTGCCAATTCTTTCCTCCATTCCCTATTCCAAGATTTCTCTGGCATAAACACCTATGGCTGCCAAACCTTCCTGCTCTTGTCCTAACATAAGCAACCAAAAGATGACTACTCTTCTCCCTCCCTGTAATTTGCTTTGTATATCCACTTGCCAGATTCTTACAGAATAAGTACTAGGGGAAAAGGAAATAAACCATTCCTCTTTCTGGCAAAGAAGCATGGAGGAATGAAGTTGTAGCTCTCTAACTCATGTTCCCACTGGTAAGAAAGTCCCTAGAGCATTATAAAGAACTGATTTCAAAGACTGGGTACGAGGAGCACCTGGGTGGCTTAGTCAGTTAAGCATCTGCCTTCCCCTGGCATCATGATCCCATGGTCCTGAAATCAAGTCCTGAGTTGAGCTCCCTGTTCAATGGGCAGTCTGCTTCTTCTCTCTCTGCCCACCACCGTCAACTCACCCCTACCACTCCTGCTCTCTCTCAAATAAATAAATCTTAAAAAAAAAACTGTATATGATTTCCATTTGCTTCCCTCTTTTCTGTAAGCTATGTGAAGTGTTTGATCTTTATTGAGCATGTACTATCCTTTAAATCTGACCAAAAAGTTGCATTGATCCCAAAATGCATAAGGAATCAGATGAGAGCTGGTATACCAGTTTGAAAACATCAGTCAGCATGCAAAGATGTGTCAGGTTTCCAGCATTTAGGACATTGTTCTAAAGGCCTTTGTTCTAATATAGGCTATCTGAATGTAACCCACGGTTGGGCACCTTCCTAGTGTCAAGGACGTTGGAATTTATGTCCTGAGTCTGCCAGCTGAGCAGCCTTGGGAACTGCAAGTCCCCTAACTTCTCTGCATGTGGATGTCTTCACTGGTAATTTGGAAATATGGACAACATTGTAGGGTACTTACTGAGTGAGCATTGTTTTAAATAACATACACATAATACTTCCTGTCATCTTCCTAACAAACCTAAGAGGTAGATATTGCTATCATTATCACCCATTTTAAAGATGTAGAAACTAAGGCACAAAGAAGTTAGTTTTCTTTCCAATGGTTCCAAAGTTATATATGAAGCCAGAATTGAAACCCAGGCAGTCCCATGTCCAGAATCCATGCTCTAGGTACCTTCTCTCACTGAATTGTGATCATTAAATCAGATTAGAGATTTGGATGTAAATGTAACATATTGTTATTACCTCTCCTGAAGTTTACTTCCTCATCTGTCAAAAGGAGACAATACTTACATTTCAGAGTTTTTGTCAGAATAAACATATGAAAGATGACTGAAATTTTGCTACCCAGCTGTCACCACCCCTGGCAAACAAAAAAACATGTTTTGCTCTTAAATATTAAGAAATTGCATGTGATCTAAGCCTGTCCACTGCTACAATATAAAACTAATATCATTTTTCCTTTTTACTTCTTACAGATTTTTGCATATATGAATGAAGCCTCTTCACGAAGAGAAAAATGGGACCTCCAAGCTCTTAGATTTTTATCGATCAATTCAATAATTGATCCTTGGGTCTTTGCCATCTTTAGGCCTCCTGTTCTGAGACTAATGCGTTCAGTCCTCTGTTGTCGGGTTTCATTAAGAGCACAAGATGCAACACAGACTTCCTGTTCTATACAGTCAAACGCCAGTAGATTGACCTTTGTCGACACTAGTTAGAAGTGCTTCATTAGCCAGACTCTGGAAGATCATTTTGAAATGGCTCCTTGGCGAAATGAAAAAAATTAGTTTATAAACCAAATGAAGCCACCTAATAAAACAGAGTAAACAAACATTTCAGCAGTGGTTTAGGCGACAGAGGTGCTGAGAAGGCGTTTCATGGAAAGGGTCAGAAGGATCCATAAAACCTACCTGCAATGAGCAGGTTAGTTGGTCTTTAGATGAAAAAGACCAGTTTTCAGATCCAGTTTCCTTTTGATTTAAGCTTTCCTGTTGAGTGAGAAAGCATGTGGTTTTGTGATTTGTTTAAAGCCCTAAATAGTTACTGTATTTTCTATTTTAATCTTCTATGCTACTGCTGTTATAAACATGCAGTGTATAGTCAGACAAGACAAAACTTCATGTGTATCTTCTAGGAAGATGATACATGGAAGCAACTAAGACTGGTGTCCTGTGATTGCTCAACAGCTCTTTGGCCGATGAATTTGGAAATCACAGGCACTTTGTACCATCATATTTGTGTATGTGGGTGGACTCTCTGGTCACTATGGTATTATGGGTGGAGCAGTAGGCTCAGCTGGTTAACATCACCTTTTCAATAGTCCTCCAGAAGCTTTGTGTCAACGTATTAGGTTATTTATTTTATATTGCCCATTATGTTAAGAGTAATCAAGAAAGCTTTTGGAATTTTCTTCTCAACAAGAAATAATAGGTTATTAAGAAAGTTTTAAATTCTGATTGATACTCTTCATTCTGTTTCCAGGGAGGGGCTATGTGGCTATGTCTAAAGCTAAATATTAGAATAAAAACTGAAAAATCTGGTCAATTCTCAATAAACCATGAAACTCTTCTATTGTTCCTGTTGAGACTATGACTAACGTATACTTGATAAGATGACTGTATTGTAACAAAATTCATGCATCTACATTTTTATCCAGGAAGCATGGTTTGACTCATTCTATATAGGAAATCATACAACAGTGAGTCATATCTTAATATGTTTCTAAATCTAAATGTTTGGCATGGTATAGATCTGACATCAAAATATTTCAGTGAATTTGCACTGTTTAATCATCTTAGTTACTGCATAAACTCATCTGAAATGTCACGAAAATAAACTATGAAACAAAAATTTCAGAATGGAATAGTATTTGATAAATTTCCCCAAATAACAATTTCTAGAGCATAGTATTTTTTAATGAGATAAAAGTGGAAAACTTGTATTTATTTTGGCAGATTTTTAAAGTGTGGTTGCATTTAGATGTTAAAATATTCAGTATAGTACTTGGTATTTAGAGGATATTTTTTCCTTATAGTATGATCTTAAGAGTAGAACCACCTGGGATCCCTGGGTGGCGCAGCGGTTTGGTGCCTGCCTTTGGCCCAGGGTGTGATCCTGGAGACCCGGGATCGAATCCCACGTTGGGCTCCCGGTGCATGGAGCCTGCTTCTCCCTCCTCTGTGTCTCTGCCTCTCTCTCTCTCTCTCTCTCTCTCTCTCTCTCTCTCTCTCTCTCTGTGACTATCATAAATAAATAAAAATTAAAAAAAAAAGAGTAGAACCACCTTATTTATTTATTTATTTTACAGTGAGTGTTATTACAGGATAGCTATTATTAAAAAAAAAAGGGATGTTAGTTTTTTCCAAAGTTTCACCGAATTGCTTACGCAAAACCATTTCCTATAAGTAGTTATCAAACTAGGTAATCACTTAAAGTGATTCTAAACCAATCTAGAATCAGACACAATCTATGTCAAATCAGTTCTTATTTTTAAAAGAGCAAATAAATGGTTTGCTTTTCTACTAACTTAAACAAACCAGGCAAAATTTAACTTAACTGAAATCTGGACATATAAATAAATCTTTCCTGCACACAAGTATTCTACAGTTAAGAAATTGTTCTAAATAAGACTAATTATTCTCATGGGTAATTCATAAACATAAAATTCTGAAGTTACTTTGAATCTGGAAGATTGATTTCTTTTATCAGATGACTGTTTTTTCCTCCAAATGAAAATGTTAACTATAAGCCTCACTCCACCTCACCACCCTCCAAAAATTCTGATATAATGCCTGAGAACTTAAAAAAAAAAAAAAGGCACACTTAGACATAGTATCACTAGTGGGAGCACAATAATTTACTATGGGAGCCTGATTTCGGGGATCCCTGGGTGACTCAGTGGTTTAGCGCCTGCCTTTGGCCGAGGGCGCGATCCTGGAGTCCTGGGATCGAGTCCCACGTCAGGCTCCCGGCATGGAGCCTGCTTCTCCCTCCTCTGTGTCTCTGCCTCTCTCTCTCTTTCTCTCTCTATCATAAATAAATAAATAAAAATTAAAAGAAAAAGAAAGGTAGATTTCTAGAGCTTTGTTTCCTAATATACTCCTCCTGTTCCTTGCACTGTGTTAAATGGCTAAATCTTGTTTGATTTGAATATACAAGAAGGAATTGAATGTAAAAATCCTATTACCTAATATTAATGGCAATTTAAAGGTAATGGAAAAAATTACTTAGAATAGATATATAAATATTTCCTTTCTAAAAAAACCCATCACATCAGACGAATCTGTTTACATTCACTGACTCATTTTCAAATTAAATAAAAAACACAGAGCTTAGCCTGGTATATTAGAGAACTGAACTGGGATAAAAGAAGACCTGAATCTCAACATGATTTGGACCCATGACAACCCAGAGCCAGAGCAAAGCTCTAGAAGTAGTACCATCCCTAAACCGCCAGGGTGGCAGAGGCTATAAGCAGTGGGAAGGAAAAGTCTGGTCTGGATCACTACATTCTCAGCGTAATTCAGTTACATTTTTGGCATCCCTGTCTGCTCATGCCAGTGCACTTTGAAAAGGTTAATGTAATGTTAGCTGCGATTTGAATCAAGAAAAAAATATATATATTCAGTTTTAAAATTTGATAACATTGAAAGGCAGGGGAAGACAATTAGCTTGCACTTTTGTAAAGGTTTGTTTCTTTCATTTAGCCAAAGCTAATGGTTTTCTGAATTTAGGAAGAGCCCTCTTTTTGAATCATTTACAGATGGAGAAGCAGTCTTCTCTGCAAATGAGAAGTTTATATGTATGGACATAAAATGCCTACTCATCCAGGCGGTGTTGCAACTTAAGTATTTGGTGACTATCTTATGCCTCATCCTTTAACTTCATTGGATTTCCTCTCCAAGTACACATTTATAATCACCAATCACCTAACAGCATTATAATTGATTTTTTTAACTTACAAAGCATTTTTATTACTGTAAATGCACACTATGAAAATAAATATTATTTTAGCTATTCAGAAAAGCTTTAGTCTTATACAGGGGACCAAGGACATGTACTGGGCATTAATTTTTATTTCAGAAAATTACTTTTTTTTGGTAGCTTTTACAGTTCTTTTAATTAATTGTTAAGTAAATTTTCTTGAATTACACTTTTTATTCCCTATAAAATGAATGTACTATTAAAATCCAGTTTGGGTGGTTTAATTCTGTGATTCAAGTGTTTCTTTTTTAAAATCTGCCACGAGTCAAATCAGCGAAGTTTCTAGCAAAAAAGAGATGGCGTGCTCCAAAGAGTTACCAAAGACTGTCGAATGAAAGGAGTATTTACAGTGGGGTGGGCAGACTTAAGGAAATCAACAAAGTTATGGTGGGGCAGCCAGGGTGGCTCAGTGGTTTAGCGCCACCTTCAGCCCTGGGCGTGATCCTGGAGTCCCGGGATCCTGTCCCACATCTCGCTCCCTGCATGGAGCCTGCTTCTCCCTCTGCCTGTCTCTGCCTCTCTCTCAACCTGTGTCACTCATGAATAAATAAATAAAATCTTAAAAAAAAAAAGTTTTTATGTTTTGGTGAGACATCCCTCACAAGCTCTTCCACTTCTCTGCCTGAAGGGACAAGGGAGGAGCAGTAACCTGAAAGGAGCTTTAGAAGATGGCACCCAACTGGAGCTGTAGCCTTAAGTAGGGAAGCAACAGCTGTTGCCCAACCACAGAGAGGGAACAAGGGGACTACCTTCCTGGAGAATCTCTCCTCCTACTCTCTACTCCTATGCCTATTTCCCCCACTGGCCAAACCCAACTATAATCCACACATCAGGAGACCCTGGTTAAAGCAAAACTGAAGGCCTTATTACAGGGGCAGAGAGATTTAGAGGGGAAGTGGAGAATATCCAGCAAAAGTCAGTTAAAAATATGTTCTCCCTTTTTTAAGTTACACTAATACAAAAATTGAAACTACAAAGTAAGCAGCTTCTCTTCCTGCCTTCTACTCCAAATATCCCCTAAAAGCTTGGGAACTAGGAATCAGCCCCATATGTATGAAAGGGGGTAAAATATTATTGATTCCTTCATCAAAATATTGGTTCTAAGCCCTGCTCTCCTGTGCCTCAGCATTTACATGTATCTAACTTTGAAAGCATATGATTTTATATAATTGGAGAAACAGAAGGGGATCAGGGGTGCCTGAGTGGCTCAGTTGATTAAGTGTCTACCTTCAGCTCAGGTTATGATCACGGGATCCTGGGATGAAGCCCTGCATCAGGCTTCCTGCTCAGTGAGGGGCCTGCTTCTCCCTCTTCCTCTGCCACTCCTTCTGCTCATGCTGTCTAAAATAAGTAAATAAAATATTTTTTTTAAAAAAAGAAGGGGGATGAGACCAGAGCATCTTTGTGTTTTCCCCTACCCAGAGCAATATAGCTATCCCTAGGCAGTACAAAGAGAGAGAACCATGTATGCTGGTCTAGAAATGAACTGGAGCCTCATTTTTAAGAAGGACCACTAGAGTGAGAAAAATCAAGAAAAACCTCACTTAGGGGCACCTGAGTGGCTCAGTCTGTTAGGCATCCAATTCTTGGTTTCAACTCAGGTCATGATCTCATGGGTTGTGGGATCAAGTCCCTCATCAGTCTCCATTATCAGTAGGGCGTCTGCTTGAGGATTCTCTCCCTCTGCCCCTCTGCCCACTCATGCACTCTCTCTCTCTCTCATAAATAAATAAATCTTTAAAAAAAGGAAAAAGAAAACCTCACTTAACAGTGCAGGGCAAGTCATTCCCAAATTTAACATAGCAGGGATGAGTCTATACAGCTATAGTAAAGAAAGAGAGTATGTAGCAATTCAGCAATTCTGCATAGTTTCAAATGCTGACAAAAGTGCAAGGAAAAAGAAAATTTTAACAAAATGGAAAAAGAGTAAACAAAGTTTGACTTCCAAACCATCTGTCAAAGTTGCCCTTTCTACTACCACAGTATCTGTCTCTACACCTCCTTCACTCACCTACTTTCATCCCCTTCCAGAACACACCTTTCCTAGCACAGACCGTCTCCTCTCTGCCCACTACTGGGTCCCGTGTCATCTTTGATGAACACACTCAACCTTTCTCCTGTCAAGAAATTCCAGATTTATTCAGGAATTTACCAGACTGCTGAGTCTTTTTCAGACAAATTATTTAACTCTCTGACTCTTTGTTTCCTTGTTTATAATATAAGGGTAATGAAATTATCTACCTCTTCAATTATTTTGAAGCTCAAATGAATAAATACATGCAGGACATTCAGCTCAGTGCCTGAACATGGTAATTGCGAATAAAGTTAGAGATTGGTATTATCCTACACACTCAGTTCAGTGGCCCCTCTGACCTCTTCATGCACATCTGGCTCAGAGTGCTCATTCCTGGCGGGAATTGTGGTACTAGGGGTCATGGTATCTATTTGTTGATTCTGGGTAATTATCAAGAATAATGGTGATAATAACCATGTCGGACAATTTTGTATTTCAAAGAATGCAACGCAGATTGGCACACATGGGACAGTTTAGAGGAACGTGTAATCATGAAAGAGAGGAGACCAAGAGACATAGAAGGACAACAGGACACATAACATGGCTCCTGTCCCCTCAACAGAGCCAAGTAGGGGAACTTGAGGGATAGCACCTGAAACATTATTCAAACAGGATATGTTATGTGTTGGAAACCCTCTATCACAAAGCTGAAACTGAGGGGTGCCAGGGTGGTTTGTCGGTTAAGGTTCTGACTCTTGATTTCAGCTCAGGTCAGGGTCTCAGGGTCGTGAGATCAAGCCC